TTTCCACAGGGAGCAACTGGGGGGGGCATCCAATAAACAGTCTCCAAGGTACTGAGACAATCTCTTATGGAGGGACTGGATGGCTCAGGCCACAGGCTACACACAGGGATCCATAGCCCTGTTACCACACCCCCCCCAAGGGATTGAGCGGGGGGGCTTTTAAGGCTCAAACTTGTACCCAGAGAAGAAAATCTTCAGAGTAACCAGCAAGAAGAGGAGTACAGAGACAGGAGCCACAAGGGTGCAGGGGCTACTTAGAAGCAAACTGCCCTGCAATAGGCAGCAGTCAGCACCCGAGCAAAGCAGTCAGTTGAAGCTCATAGAGCAACCAGATAGACAGCAGCTGAACTGGTGAAGAACAAGCTGGCTGACTGAGTAGAAACCCCTGTGCCTGTTTAAAAGGACTGGAGAGAGATGGCATCAAAGCAACAGAAAAGCCCGGTGTAAGGGCTGGAGGAGGTAGTCCAGCCCTACTGTTGTAGGGAAAGGAGTTCCTGGGGAAGTGGAGCTGTAGGAAACAGACCCATAGGTACTCTAGAGAGCTGGAAGGAGATGGCTAAGGGGGGAATATGGTTGGCTGTGCATAGTGACCCAGAGTAGGGCTAGAGTTTTAGTTGGAAGCTGTCTGCTTGTGTTATGGTTTCTGTCTTTGACCGGAGGACTAGGAGTGCCTATAAGGAAGAGTTGGAGGCCACGGCAGTGGCAGGAGGTGGGAAGAGAATTATTTTGGGAAGATGTTCTATGCTTTGAGTCCTGCAAAGGATGGAGATGTGGGGGAGCAGCCCTACAAAGACCAGGGGCTAGATGAGCTGAGATCAAGACAGGGTTGGGGGCCCTGTGGCTGAAACCAGAGCAATACCTATGAGGCATAGCTATGGAAGAAGCTGGAGGTCACAATTAGAGCCTGTAAGGCACAATTAGGACCAAAAAGCCATGTTTAGGCCCAGAGGAACTAGGGAGTGGAGCCCCAAGAGACTGCCAGAGGGGTCGGAGCCCTGAGAGACCGTGAGGACAGGGAAGGCACCAAAGGAGTTACTCCAGCCTCTACAGGCAGCCCCCCAAGTTCATCACTTTCACATCAAAAGCATCGCAGGCAAGAGATGGGAAGTTAAGGAGGCCGACAGCAGGCAGGGCTGATTACCAGGGGGTGTCCTACCCTGGGGTTGGATCCCTGAGCCTGTTGCAACCTTGAAGGGTGCGTCTTCACTGCAGTTAGCCTGGACAACTGTCAACTAGGGCTGAGCCCCTGCATTAGCCTAGCCTGGGTAGTATGTCCATATTGCAGAGCCGTGCCTGTGCCACTGCCTCTCAGTGAGCTCTCGGGACTTCTGAGAGAAATATGTAGCTCTTGGCACTGCATTAACTCACTCTGCGAGCTCTTTCTGTGTCATAGTAGAAATCCTTCCTGCACCCTGAGGCAGAAGTGTTAGCTTGCCAACTCATTCAACTACCCCCTGTCCTATTCGCTGTGACGGGGGACAAGGAGTGGAGCCTACTCAGAACAACAATGCTTTCAGCTGTTGATGTTAAGACAACGCTCACTTTGGTAAGTGAAGGCAGACACGGGGCATGAGGCACAGTGGAGGGCGCTTTAGTGGCTTGTGGCACTTGGAAGGCAGTAGTGGGCCTGCTAAGGAGATTATATGGACTGCATGTACTCCCTACAACCTTAGGGACAGATAATGCAGGTTTACACTATTGTGGGACCCCCAGCGCTGATCAGCTTAGTTTCATAGTTTCTAGGGCTGGAAGGGACCCGAACAGATCATCAAGTTAATGATGGGCAGGAATGAGTGCTGGGATCATAATACCCCAGTCGGATATCTATCCAACCTCCTCTTGAAGACCCCCAAGGTAGGGAAGAGCACCGCCTCACTTGGGAGCCCATTCCAGAGCCTGGCAGCCCTAACCGTAAAGTAATGTCTCCTGATATCAAGCCTGAATCTACTCTCAATTTGTGACTATTATTCCTTGTTATCCCAGGTGGTGCCCAGGGGAACAGAGCCTTGCCTACTTTCTGCTGGTCCCCCCGGTGACTTTATAGACAGCCACCAGATCCCCTCTCAGTCTTCTCTTGGGGAGGTTGAACGGATTCAGGCCCTTTAGTCTATCTTCATAGGGCCTGCCCTGCTGCCCCCTGACCATGCAAGTGGCCTTCCTCTGGACCCTCTCAAGGTTAGCCACATCCCTCCTGAAGTGCGGCGCCCAGAACTGGATGCAGTACTCCACCTGTGGCCTGACCAGAGCTGCACAGAGGGGAAGGATCACCTCCCTGGACCTGCCTGAGATGCATTTGTAGATTGTAGATGCATGACAAGGGGGCATGATGCCACAATGTTCCAGACACGAGGCACTTTCACTTAATTCCCAACCAATAACACGAATAATCAATGGTGCACTCCATGGTGACAGACTGAATTCATGGCTATACCCTTGCCCTGTCTACTGGCCTAGGTTTAAGATTAAATAAGAGACTTGTGTGTAGATACTAGCTGGGACAGGAGCAATCCCTGGATAAGAGTCCAGGCCAATTCTTTTGTAAGCTCATACCAAGGCAGGCATGCTTTTCTTCTTTCTTAAATGTAAATCATATCTTTTTTTTAAAGATTAAACTGGCTTATTTGAAAAACACTTCTACTACTAAATAAAAATACAGCTACCTATATTAATGTCCACATTTTTAAAAGAGTCAAGCAAGCATTTAAATGAAATAAAAACAAGATATGGACAACACATTTGCTGCTCAGATTTTAAATCCACTCAACCAAACTACTGAACTGACAGAAGTCATGAGCTAAGCACCAGTGACAAGAATTTGATGAAAAACAGCTGCTGAAAGCCACAGCCTCCACTGCAGGTACAGAATAATATCTTCCTTTATTTCAGTATATTCAGCTAGTTTGATGTAATGACTGATTTATTCAAAGCTGAGATGCAAAATGGGAACAAAAAAAGCAGGAAGGCTCATCTTCCTCTGATAATCTATGAACAAATAAAAGGTACAGGTAAGAACGTGAGCTCTCCTAGTTCGAACATCTTGAAGCACAGTGACCCAACCCCCCTTTAATTCATTAACTATTAATAATCATTTTGTATTAAGCACATGGATACATTAGATGCATTAGACAAATAATTTAACAGCTTTAACTAAAAATAAAAAAAGTTTTAATTTTTTTCCAACTACTCAGTTGGTCTAATAAAAGATACCACATCTACCCAAAGAACCTCACCTGCCTATGTCCTTAGACTACCATAGCTACAACCAAAAACCCAGCAAAATGATGTCTTGTATATTTTAGTGAATTTCTAACTTCCATCCAAATGCACTTTGTGATTTCTATGAATCAAAACTTTAACCCCCCACCCCCCAAAAACCAAATGATCATCTAGTAAATAACTGGCTCTTTCTTAATTGCTTAAATAAAAAGAATACAGATATAAGATATCCTACCAGTTAACAAAGAAGTTCCAAATTATCATGTGGGCCTGTATCCATTTGTAGATCAATGCATTTTAATGCTTACCAATCAGTGAGAATCAGCTTTAAAGGTAAAATAACTATAAAAAAATACAAAAGCAAAACAAAATTAGAACTGATACACTTACATTTCCTGCCCTTGACTTAAATCATGATTTTAAAACTGGTGATTTAAAAATCACTTTAACTTAATTCCACCTGAGGACATTTAAGACAGAAGTGGACACCCCATGACATGGTCAGATTGGGGAGGGGATAGGCATCCAGGCAGCAGTCGTGCAAGAGGCAGAAAGCAGAGCAGAAGATTGGGCAAGGGAAGAGGCTGGAGTGGAGCTGGGGGAGGATGCAGGGCTAACTTGGAGCATACTTGCCAAAAAGGTTGGTTTAAAACATTGAATCGTATGCAACCCATGCTGGTCCCAGCCTGAAGTCATCATCTTTGGTGGCAACAAGAATGGACAGTGGCTGTTTCTATTTAGCTCTTAGCAGATAGGGATTTAAAGCAGAAGCACTAATCCCACCCCCCAAGAAGTGTGACTTTTGCAGGATGGACTCTGCAGGGCACAGTTAGTGCAAATGCCGATAAAGCCCTGATCTCTTTCTCTTATTTCTTTAAATAGCACTTCCCATGCTGGATTGAGGAGTACATCACGTATCTGTCCAGAAAAATGACTGACTTGATTGAGATTTGAAGTCCAGCCTGATAAATCTTAATCTGAAAGAGGGGTGTATCACTAGAGAGGCAAGCTGTACATTTTTACTTTGTGGCCTGCGGTGAAGCTGCAGTCCCAGCTCACTAACGCAGAGGAGTGTTTCTCCCTGGGATTCATTTAAGATCCATTTGAAGTACAGGCAGTCCCCGACTTGCAACATTTCACATTACAACTTTTATAAATTATGTTTCAACTTTCTGACATTGGTTTTGACTTCACAACGCTTGATCCGACACCACGCCAGCGAACAAGTTCGCCGCGTCGCTCGTCTCCTTGGAGAACATCTGTCCAAATGTCCTCGGACGCTTTCTTTCAGAAAGCCAGCGCGACTCCAGAAATTACCTGCAGCCAGGACTCCTGAGAAGCCTCCAGCCAGGAGCCCTTCAAACAGTCCAACCAAGAGCCCTTTCCAAAGTCACCTCCAAGAAGTCCTGCCGAAGCACTACGATGGCTATTTACGATATAAATACATTCATGTAGCGATACGACTCATCTGTAACTGATCGAGTGCAAAGTTTCATAGTTTCTAGGGTCAGAAGGGACCTGAGCAGATCATCTAGTCTGACCCCCTGCCATGGCAGGAAAGAGTACGGGGGTCAAACGACCCCAGTAAGGTGGTCATCCAACCTCCTCTTAAAAACCCCCAGGGTGGGAGCCTGCACCACCTCACTTGGAAGCTGGCTCCAGACCCTAGCCGCCCTGACCGTGAAGTAGCGCCTCCTGATGTCCAACTTAAACCTTCCCTCCGCCAGCTTGTGACC